CCCAGCAGCGAGAAACCCTAGGGGAGCTGGCTTGTTTTTTTGAAGGGATATAAAAATAGGCTACAGAGTGAGCATCTGAAACACGAAAGCCCAGTAAAAGGATGAGACCGAGTGGCAGGTGTTTGAAAACATCATAAAAGCAGGAAAGGAGTAGGTTATAGTCTGAAAATGGACAGTTTTTATGAGGCCTTATCTGGCCCATTTAATGGATTTTCCACAGTCTGTCCTGTAAACTTTTTTTGAGTCTTTATTAATTTGGAAACCTCTGCTTTTCTTGGTCACATTTTCATTTGTCCCTTCTTTTCTGTTTCACTTTTAGGGACTAAAATGGGTCACATTATCAACAGCTTCCAGGTTTTGTAAATGGACCCAGTCTCTCTGAATTAGGAGAAAGAAGTCTACAAAATTGTAGGTGCAAGGGAGCATCAGTTTTGACATGTGCCAAAAAGGGGTAATTGTGTCTGTGGTACAGGATTGGGGTACATGTGTGCTTGCCTGCACATTTCCCCAAATTAGCACATATTACACGTCATACAAAAAAGCCATTTTAAAACCATTTTCATAATTTTAGAGGCTGAGGAGATGGTTGGTTGGTAAAGTGTTTGTGCAGACCTGAGGACCTGACTTTGTATCCCCAGCACAGACATAAAAAACTGAAGCAGCATACGTGTCCTCCCATTGTGTCTGTCTGTCATCCCTGAACTGGGAAAGCAGGTGGATGGATCTCCAGGGTTCACTGGCTAGCCAGTATCTCCAGGTTCATGGATGGAGAACCATGGAGGAGGACGGCCAGTATCAGCCTCTGACCCCACAAATGTGTGTGTGTGTTCATGCACACAACACACACACAGAGCTACTTCTTCATTGCTGGACCTATAGCATTCACATAAAACAAGAGGCAAAGGTAAATCACATAGGAAAAAATTTGGTGGTTTTTTTGTTTGTTTGTTTTTGTTTTATTTTTTGGTTTTTGGTTGTTTTTTTTCTGTTTGTTTGTTTGTTTGTTTGTTTGTTTTCGAGACAGGGTTTCTCTGTGTAGCTTTGCACCTTTCCTGGAACTCACTCTATAGCCCAGCTGGCCTTGAACTCACAGAAATCCGCCTGCCTCTGCCTCCTGGGTACTGGGATTAAAGGCGTTTGCCACCACCGCCCAGCCTGGAAAAAAAAAATTTGCTTTTAAAAAAATTAAACTATGGTATTGCTGGGGTGTGGGAGTGCACTTGGGAGGCAAAGAATCCCTGTAAGATCAAGGCCAGTCAGGGCTACACAGTGGGAACCTATCTTTAAAAAAAAAAAAAAGTGTTACTGTTATTTATGTGTGCATGTTATGCATGTGGTGAGGGTACCTGTGAAGGCCAGAAGAGGGTCGGAGATGCCCTGAAGCTGGAGTTACAGGTGCTTGTGAGCCCCCTGGTGTGAGTGCTGGAAACTGAACTTGGGTCCTCTTGTGAGTGCTGGAAACTGAACTTGGGTCCTCTTGTGAGTGCTGGAAACTGAACTTGGGTCCTCTGGCACAGCAGCAGGCTCTGGTCACCGTTAAGCTGTCTCTCCAGCCCTCCCAATATGGTGTTCTTCAGAGCAGAACTGATAAGGAAGTTGTGATGATCTGGAGGACAAATGGGAAAGGAAGAGAAGGGGGGATACATGCAGGTCACTAGGCCAGATCGGAGATTTTAGTAGCATATGGCACCCTGTACATACTGGGAAGTAGATAAAATCCCGTCCAAGCTTGACTCTGGAACGTTACAAAAATTCGGTAGGGTCCGTCCTGAGACAGAGGGGGCCGTTCTTGATGTGTGTGCATCCAGAGACCTGTTCCCATTGCTGCGTCTCGTAGACCTTGGGCAAATGCTTGCCTTCAGGAAAGCTTCAAATATGCTATCTATTTACTTGGATTTTATATGTGAGAAATTGAACAAAGGAAAGCGCTGACTCCTGCTGGTACCTACAACCCTGACGGAGAGTGTTGGAGGCAGACCGTCACGGCCGTGAGTGTGGCCATCTTCGTAACCGTGGCGGAGAGAGCAGGAAAGAATGTTTCCCATCCCTTTCAAGTTCATGTCAACGTCTCTAATATTAGGCCTCTGAGTGGCTGACTAGCTTATTCCTCCTGGGATGGTGGGATGACGGAGTCAGTGGTGATGGGGGGAAATGGATGCTTACGGTTACAGGTTGTGAGGAGGGAATGGTCTAGCCTCTGGGCGGTGTGGGGAGGGGATGCTTTCCTGTAGCCTCCGCTGCACGGTGAGCTAACTGGGGTTGAGTCAGAAGCAAAGGTGTGTGGGTCACTGAAGGCCTAGGCCTCCACGTGGTCCCTCCTGATCAGGAGGGCCCACAGCGGGATCCCCAGCCCAGTCGGTGTGCTGGCCACCTCCAAGGCTGCCAGCCTGTGCGGGGTCTCAAACCAGGGTGCTGGGTTCCATGTGAAGTGTCCTCCAGGCATCTCCAGAGCTTAACTCCTGTGGCATTGTCCATTGTCCCCACTTCCCTTACAATTCTTGTCACCTGTACAGCCATCCCCAAGCCTCAGCCTGCCCTGCCCAAGAAGAGGAGTATTTTGCCATTTCCTCCTCCCCACTCAGCATCTCTCCATCCCTTCCTCCCTCCCTCCCTCCCTCCCTCCCTCCCTCCCTCTCTCCCCTCCCCTTTCTCCTCCTTTCCTTTCTGTCTTTCCTGTGAGCCCAAGTGAATTGCCTTAAACTATTAGCCACTTCCCCACCTCCATAGGAACTTAGGGTCCACTAACAAGTGCACCCCAGTTCTAGCTGATCCGACCTCTCCTCTCAGCCCTGCACCCTAATCACAGACTCTGCTTTTTCTTTCTCTTTTCGAGCACAGTTCTCTCTCCCTTACATCCCCACTTTGCTGTGTCACTGTGAATCTGCCTTCCTCCTCACCCTGGGTGGTCTGACTCCCAGAATCCTCTCCAGCAATCTGTCTCCCCGTACCGCCCCGTACCGGCTGGATTTTTGGATACTCTTGTACACCGCTGGCACTGTGTTATCCCCATGTTCCCGGAGTGGAGGAACAGAGTGGGCAGCAGCAAGTGGAGATGGATGCCTGGATAACCTTCCGGAGAGCTTCCAGCTCTGGACATTAATCCTCGCTGAGCAGACCTTGTCCCTCCACCTCCCACAGCCAAATAAAGACTAACCAGGCCTGCTTTCCCAGACTCAAGTTCTCCTCAATAAAATCAGCAACTACCCAGTTAAAAGGTTGGGGAGGTGGGGGGGCGGGCGGACTGGAATGTGGAGGGTGCTTCACAGACCCATCACCAAGGCTATGTACCCACAGCCAACCAGCACTGTAGCTGTTGCGTTTTTTGGTGTATTCCAGGTTCTCCAAGCCAGCACCCATGTTCCTGGATGACTCCTTTCGCAAGTGGGCTAGGATCCGGGAGTTCGTGCCACCTTTTGGAATCAAAGGTCAAGGTATGTTGGGAACCCTTTAAACATGAAACACCCATTTTCCCATGCTCTTTCCCTGTACTTCAAGACAGGATTGTGTCTTTAGAAGTTCCCCACTGGGGGCTGGTGGGATGGTTCAGTGGGTGAAGGTATTTGCTGCCTAGTAAGTCCAGTGTCTGTGATCCACATGGTGGAAAGGAGAGCCAATCATAATAAATTGTTCTCTGACTCCATGGTACCCGTTTGTAAGTGAGTGTGCACTTGTGCACACACACAAATAAGTGTGTATGTGAGAGAGAGACAGACAGACAGACTGTGGTGCAGTGCATACCTTTATACCTTTAATCACTGAGTTCGAGGCCAGCCTGGTCTACAGAGCGATTCCAGGACAGCCAGGACTACATAATGAGACCCCGTCTCAAAATAAACAGAACAGTTCCCTGCTGGAGATGGTTCTGCACTGGCCAGAGCTGGCTCTGCTGCAGTGATGAGTGTGTACGGTCCCTTTGTTCAAAGCCCTAGTCTAGTGAAGGAGCAGGGGCCAGATCCGGGGCCGTGAGATTGCAGAAGAGATGCTCAGAGACATTGTCATAGTGCTGCGGCTACATGGAAAAGATCCTGGGAACCACACACACATATACACACACACACACACACACACACACACACACACACACACA